TCATAAGGCTCTTCTCCCGATTTTGGATGTCCACAAAGCCAGTGTCATTGGCAGCGGAAAACTCAGGTTTGTACTTGCAAGTATCTGAATCCTTTGCAAGATATGGGTATGAGTCTTCTGAGTCCAGGCCTCCATTTTCCTTAATATACTGGAAGGCATAATCCATTAAGCCACCATTGCAGCCCTCATTGCCTTGAGACCGTGAACAGTCCACCAGGTTCTGTTCACTCAACGAAACAAGTTTTCCTGTTTTCCGGAACATCTGTCCTTCAAGGGAACCAGTTGCACTGAAGGCCCAACAAGAGCCACACTGACCCTGAAAATAAAAAGCAATCAGTTTACAAGATACAAAGATTAGCAATAATATAATCCATATATCTGAAACTGCATTTCACTCCATCTACCAGAGCAAATAAGCCAATGCTTTTTTGACTTTCCTATTAAACACAGATCTGAACTTGAATACTGTCATACTTGGTATAAATGACAGAATGAACAGAGAGAATACCTGATTTTTTACAGGAGTAACATAGCCTTTTTTTCTCCAATCCACAGATTTGGGGGTTTCAAGCAAAAAAGGTGACTGGAACATTTTGCCCCCCTTCTTTTGTTTCTCCTTTTGAAAGCCATTCATCACCTGCTTGAATTCCTCATTGGTCTTTAAGAAAAAGTAAATACAATATTGAAAAAGCAAGACATTATTTGATACAGTACTGAGGAGAGGCACACAAAAGCAGAGCAATCCATGCCACACTCACCATGTCACCAAAGGCATTCATGGCCATTGTGAAGCCATGTTTCCCTAGGCTGTATTCGCGATTGTGCAGTTCAATCATTTTCATATTTTTCTCCCACACTGCTCTCCTCCATCCTTCTTCACTCTAAAGACAAAAATGTAACCTTTCATATTTACTTCTATTTGAAACCAACTCACCTTCACCAAGTGCATTTGGAGAAAGAGGAAGAAAAACATCATGAGAATGAAAGGTTTTATATATCTGGAAGCTGTATGCCCAGATTGTACTCAGCCAGGGCACCATGAAGTTATTTGGTGAGAGTATGCCTGTGGAAGCTACTCTCTGCTATAAACTCCCACTTGAAGGACCCTAATTCTGGGCAATTTTCAGATGTTACCAACCATGCCATACAGTCTCCTATGAGTTGACTTCCACTGGGACCATTGTGCATCTAAAGTTTGATCAAATTTTGGAGTTGCTGAGCTTATTCCCAAGCAAAGAACAGTCAGGAGGAGTGCCGGAATCATGTTGCAAAAACCTGAGAGGGGGGGAAATGAGTATCTGATTAGACTGATCATTCTAAAAAGCCATCCTACTTTCTGCTGTGATGTTAAAGTGTGAGTGTGGTGGAGTAAAAACATTTAAACCATCTTCTCAAATATTCACAACAGGTTTATGGAAGGCTAAGGATATGGGTGGAGAAACAGGTCAAGGACTTATCAAACAGTGGACATATTTGAGCCAGTCATCAAAACAAAGACCAGAGTAACAAAATACAGAAATTGAAACAAACTTTTCTGTAAGAGAATTCAGGTCTAGATGGAAGTAGACGATTAACATGAAAACTAGGGAAACTGTTGGTTCCGGTTATTCAAAAAACAGGGGGGGGGGACCCCACAAGAGTAACCCATCTTTCTACCTGACTATTGCAAAGGTTACACCCCTCCAACTCTGCTTCTTAAAGTCCTTCTGAAAGACTTTCCCAGGAGGAGAGTAGAAAGACCCTCACTGCTCACTGTCCCCACTTGGTCCCTGCTGCCCACATCTTCTACCACCTCTCCAGACCCGGGTGTGCGATCACGTGGCACGACTAAGTGCACGAAGGGTCAAATCCCTGCGACTGAACAGGGCCTGGGCCAGGCCCACACGGTGGCACTACAAGGCGGGCAGGGCCAGGGCAGTGTAGCTTCGCTTGCTCGCGGCCTTAAGCAAAAGCCTGAAGCTGTTTACTGCAGGGCCAGGAGCCAGAGCCGGGCAGGAGAGCGGGGCCACACAGGCTGTTCCACGGGAACAGGCCTAGTCGGTGGCGACCCTGGAAACTAATTGATGCCCGCCGCCCTGAAGATCATTGGCCTGACCCAGACCTCGGCCTGGGGATCTCGGCGCCGGCGCCTAGTCGTCCTTCCCCTCCCCCCCCCATCCCCCTACACACACCTCAAAGCCACCAGGGCTGAAGGCCAAACCAAATCCTGCCGCTCCAGCTTTCTCGCGCGCGTCACCGAACCGGTCCCCTCCTCCAGCCCTCCTCCTCGTCCCTTCCGAACCCCCACACCCATCCGCTAACCTGCGGCGGCCCCCGCAGCGCAGGCACGCAACACAGACACTCGTAGCTCTTAATAGGTCGCAGGTCCCGAAGTAGTAACCAGCCCCTCTAGACTCGCCCTTTAAATTATCCAGACTCGCCCCTGCGGGGCTCGGCCCCGGCGTCTCCAGCCCGGCGATTGGCTGCGCCGACTTGGGGCGGAGCCTCGGACGCCGGCGCCCCGGCGCGTGACCCGGCTCTGTCCCTGCTTGTCCGGGTTGGCGGTCCAGCCTCAGAGGCGCTGTTCGAGGGGGCGTGGGGGAGGGGAGGCAGGCTAAGGGTCAGCCGACGGAGCTCGGCGGGGCTGGCGCCTCCCTGGAAACCCGGATCGATTCATTCACACCTTAAGTTGTTGGGACACTAGAAGCTATGACGAGCCCCAAGTGGACTTTTAGCTAAACCTCTCTTCAGCCCTGGAGTATTGGTTAAAAAACGTGTGAAGGGCAAAAACAATACAGTCTAGTCTAGTGGTTCCTGGTTTTGTCACAGCAAAGATGGGGCGGGCTGGAATGCAGAGCCTGGGGGAAGACTCTTATCTCCTTTCTGGGTGGGACGCAGCTGGTTTTGAAAGAGGAGGGCAATTCTCCAAACTTGGCCAGATTATGGTTCAAAATCAGGAGTAAACACTGATGAAGGTGTGACATTTTGTAATGTGTCTTCCCTAGTTCAGGGACTCTTCTTCCCTCTCAAGCCTTTCTCAAAACTTCTATTATGTACTGAAAATTTTGGCTTAATATAAAGGAAAACGGTTGAGAAGGCAGAAACTGCTTCCTCCCTCTTGCTCTCTGCATTATGGATCATTGTTTTTCTCAGCCTACTTTCCTTGAGATTTAAGAAAAGAACCTTAACAATATTTAATGCCAGGGTTTAGGTTACACAGTTTAAGGAAATGTTTTAGATGGCAATATACATTATATGTATATAATGTTTATAGTCACTAAAGACTGAAGACCTTTCAATTCAAAAACCTTTCTAAAATATATTAAATTATGAAAGAAGCATTTGAGGCCTAGGACGACAACTTAGTGTTAAGTAGGCTGCTTCAGGGACAGTGCAGACAGGGACTTTGGGAAAGTTAAAAAAGCTTCTGAGATAAGAGACGAGAATTCCAGGACTGATGAGGGCAGTAAATTTCAAAGCTATTAAGGAGAATAATTTAAGAGACCTTGGACAGGGGCAGTGAAAGAAAGACTAAGGTAAGTGCTAGGTACACAGGGATGTACAGCCACTTGGGAGACCGCCAGTCTCAAAGAGGATAGTAAGATTTTAGAATAGAGAAAAAAAGTTTAAATATTCCTTCCATACAGGCCCAAGGGTCATCTTTTGCCCCTCCTTGGCATTGCTGCCTTGGAGTCTGCTTTCATTCTTTCTTCTCTAAATAAACTATTTTCTTGAACAAAGTTTGCTTCTCTCCACTTATTTATTGAGCACTTGTCTACAATTCCTTTTTACAGCTTCACGAGACAAGAACTTGTGGTAGTTGAAGGATTACCAGATAAACAGCAGCAGCAGCAGCAGCAGCTGGTGCAGATGTCATGATCCTAATAGCACACTCTGGCTTCACAGTCAATGTAGAAAATAAATAACCCTTATCTCTTCTGTAACTCTTTTCTAGTCATATCTTATATATATACGTACATACATACATATGACACACACACACACACCCCAATGGAGTCTTAGTGCATGTTGATTTGTAACTTATTTTTTTTTTTTAAAGATTTATTTATTTGTGCATACAGAACTGGGGCACAAGCCAGAGGCTCAGGGGCGGTGAGAGTCTTCACCAGAGACAGAGTGGGGAGCAGAACAGGCAGATCGACGAAGTACACTGCTGAGGGGAGCAGCGGGCGGGTCAGGAGAGGTCTGCCGCGCCATGTGGTCATCTCCGGGGCAAGCGGGAATCGAACTCATGCGGAAGCGGCTTCAGATTGTCAGTGCTGTGCTTTAACCCACTGCGCCACAAGGGAGGGCCGATTTGTAACTTATTTTAAAAATGTATTTATTTATGCCTACAGAACTGGGGTGCAGGCCAGAGGTGCAGGGGAAGTGAGAGGATTCACCAGAGACAGAGTGGGGAGCAGAACAGGCAGATTGACTAAGTACACTGCTGAGGGGAACAGTGGGCAGAGGTGGCAGTGGGCATGTGGGCAGTGGGCATGTGGATCACCTCCAGGGCTGGGGATCATACTTGCACAGAAGCAGCTGTGGCTATCTTGCAGTGCTTTGCTTTATCCTGTTGCGCCACCAAGGAGAGCCCTGACTTGTTAGGTCGTATTTTATATTAATGTCTAAGAAAATAAGCAGAAATCAATTTGGGACACAGAAAAATGCTATAACAGAGCAGTTTGGCTGTGAATATGCCCTTTGGCTGCCCCAAAGATCTGGTACATCATAATTCCTTACCTCCACAAAAATAATGCTGTTGCCAGGAGGATGAACAATAAATAGAATGATTGGCCAGTCCTGGAAATCCACAAAATACATCCTTTACGATAAAGATTTTTATTAATTAATTTTTTGCATTTCTCACATATAAGTTGCATCTGAGCTCAAAGATAAGGACTCACTGAATGCTACCTCTTTACTTTGCTTATGAATGTTAGAAAATTACTGGATAACCAGTTCTAAAACAAATATCTTGTATGGAATATTCATGTGGCTTTTCTATGCCTGCTTTTCTCAATGGTACAGAAACTGTAATCCACTTCAGAACAAAGTGCTGCAAATAACCAGAAATTTTTCTGCACTGTCCTATGGGCTAGTCTTCTCTTTTGACTGAAAACAAAAATGCTAACTGTTATCATTACAATGGTAATGACTTTAGTTAACATCAATAACCTAAATAGAAGCACAATCAAAAAAATATGTTTTAAAAAATCAATTTATTAAAAAATTTCATTTTCTATTCTTTGAAGCAGAATTCTTTCTCTCTCAAACACAACCAGATGCTGGAAGCTCTTGAATGATTTGAAAGGATATTTTATGTATTCAGCGGGAGTTTTTTTCTTTTAAAATCAATCATGGCAGTCAACACCAGCATCTACATTCTATTTCTATTCACATGTAGAAATAAATGAAGACCACCAACTTACTATAAGAAATGAGATAATTCAAAGACAGGGTAAAAAAAAAAACTAATAATAAAAAAATAAGAAGCTGGGGTAAGCACTGATTTGAGGCTGTTGTCATGGGGCAGTTGGAGGAGGAACAACTAGAAAAAGAATAGTTCATATGACTGGTTTGGGGACAATTTGTAATTCTCTGATTTCTTCTGAGTTGAAAGAGGAGGTAAAAATGAAGTTTGTAGCCATTCATAAGTCTTGCCTCCTGAAGTGGTTTCTGCAGAAGTTTCTTTTGTGGGTCAGAGTACTATTGTCAAACAAAGTATGACCATTGTTCATTTGTTTACTCAGTGATCACAAGAAACTTAATTTATTCTAACATGTGGGTTTTACAATAGCCTTTGGGCCATAGCTCCATAAGATTGCACAGGGTGGAAAAACCTGCTGCTGTCTTAACATCTGGGCCTTAAGCAATAATCATATCCTGACAGAAATCTGTCTGGCAGGCACTGCTCCAAGGGATGGCATCTCCTTTATTTCTTGGAATGTGTCATAAATGCAATGGAGGGAAATTAAATTAAAACCTAAAATTAAATCAAGACATACCTAAATTCAGGAGAAAGCCATTTAAGCAAGAGAGTAGAAGCAATTCAAATTCATGACCTCTCCTTATATATAATATGTTAAATAATGCTTTACAGATATGTATTACTGCTAACCATCATGTTCTCTTTCTATTCCCATTTCTTTGTAAAATAACTTAGATGAATGCTAATTATTAAAATGGTTGCATTTTAGTTATGTGATCAAGCCTTAATTCTGTCTGGGATAAAAACACAGTTGGTAAAACTTCCTAACTCCTATTTAAAATGCAGCACTTCAGATGAGCAATAGACACATGAAAAAATGTTCATCATCACTTATCATCAGGGAAAAAAATTCAGGGTCCCAACGAGAAGATACTACACCTGTGAGAATGACCCATATACAAAAAAAAAAAAAAAAAAAAAAAGAACCAACAAGAGTAGGCAAAGATCCAAAGATGTGGGGAAAAAAGGAATCCTTGCCTACAGTTGGTGGAAATGTAAAGTGTCCCAGTCCCTATGAAAAGCAGTATGGGAATTTCTAAAGGTATTAAAAATGTGTCAATTCTACTTCCAGATAGAAAATACAAAAACATAACTCAAAGGGATATATACATTCCCTCTGTTCCTTAAAGGACTATTTAGATTAGCCTAGCTATGGAAATAATTCATGTGTCCAAAATTGAGGAAGTAAGAAGATGTGGTATATATACACAATGGAATACTACTCAGTTATCAAAAAAAAAAAAAAAGATAACCTCTTGCCTCTTGCAAAAGCATTTATGAAATGGATCATGCTAAGTGGAAGGAGAAAAACTAATATGTTTTGGTGTCACTATTATATGGAATATAAAGAAACAAAAGAAAGGGTCAGATAAAGTTCAACCAGGGATAAGTCTTAGAAATCTACCTGAAGGGAGAAGCAAAGTGGGAAGGGAGCAAAATGGTGAAGGACTGTAGTTGTATTAGCTATGGGTGTTTGGGGTAAGCATCTGGAGGAGGTGAACATATACCTCTAAATCATATACAGTGTTGTAAACCAATGATAGTGTCATAAAAAAAATGAAAAATGCCATATCTGTGAAAGTATAGTCTTATGTATATCTGTGTAGATTTCCTTTTTTCACTAGTAAATGGTATATGATCAAAGAGACAAGCCCTGTGATGTTAGGAGAGTCACCTTGCATGTAATTGTGATGGGGGTTGTTCTATGGGAACAAACAGAAGGGATATCCATCTATGAAGACCTGATTCTTCTGGGAATAAAAGCATTATTAGAGAGGATTCCTGTGATGATGATGATATTAACAGTAAAACAAGATACAGATGGTCCCTGATTTGGGATGATTTATGATTTTTTGACTTTATGATGATGTCAAAGTAATACACATTAGGTAAAAACATACTTTGAAGTTTGAATGTTGATCTTTTCCTGGGCTAAAG